GCGAGGCGGCGGGCGCCTGTAGTCCCAGCTACTTGGGAGGCCGAGGCAGGAGAATGGCGTGAACCCGGGAGGCGGAGCTTGCAGTGAGCTGAGATCCGGCCACTGCACTCCAGCCTGGGCGACAGACCGAGACTCCGTCTCAAAAAAAAAAAAAAAAAATTTCAGATATACCCCAACAATGCTATTCCATGTGAATTCTATTCTTTGAAATGACTACATATTACATACTATGGATTTGGATCATGATTGATAAACACTTAGGTGCCTTCTGAGTTAGAATTAATTAACATTTAAAATATTAATAGATGTTGATAACGATAACATGGCTCCATTCCCCTCATTTAGAAATATATTGAGTACCTACAATGTGCCCAACACCATAAACATTAGAAAATATGGAATAGACATAGTCCCTTCTATTAGTGGCAGTGAATCCATAGGGGTCTGCAGCAACCTCATTTCTTGCCGCAGAAGAAAAAATTTGACTGAGGGCATAAGGCATAAGGAGAGACCAAGGCGAGTTTTATAGCAAGAGTGAAAGGTTATTAAAAAGCTTTAGAGCAGGAATGAAAAGAAGTAAAGTACATTTGGAAGAGGGCCAAGTGGTGACTTGAGAGATCAAGTGCCCAGTTTGACCTTTGACTTAGGGTATTATATTTTGGCATACTTCCGGGGTTTTGTGTCCCTTCTCCCTTGATTCTTCCCTTGGGATGGGCTGTCTGCTTGCACAGTAGCCTGCCGCTACTTGGGAGGGGCCACATGTGCAGTGTGTTTACTGGAGTTGTACGCATGCTCTCTTGAGGCATTCTTCCCTTACCAGTTGAATGCTCCTAGAAGATCACATACCAGTAAAACTCCGCCATTTTGCCTCTTTAGTGTGCATGCTTGAGCCCACTTGCCCAACTCCTGAGATCTTAGGAAGCTGATCCCCAGTTTCAGTTTTTTCTATTATATCTACTGGGAGACTGCCTTTTCCTGGTACCCACTGCAACTTATTATTATTATTACTTTTTGAGACAGAGTGTTGCTCTGTTGCCCAGGCTAGAGTGCAGTGGTGTGATCTCGGCACACTGCAACCACTGCCTCCCAGGTTTAAGCGATTCTCCTGCCTCAGCCTCCTGAGTAGCTGGGATTACAGGCACACACCACCACACCTGGCTAATTTTTGTATTTTTAATAGAGACGTGGTTTTGCCATGTTGGCCAGGCTAATCTCAAACTCCTGACCTCAGGTGATCTGCCCGCCTTGGCCACCCAAAGTGCTGGAATTACAGGCATGAGCCACCATGACAAGCCTCTCAAATCTTAAGTTTATAACCCAGTGAATTTTAACATATGGGTACACCTTTGTACCACCCAGATAAAGATTTAGAATATTTCTAGCACCGCGGAGGGCATCAGTGTTACCTTTTGCAGGCAATACTCACTCCTTGCCCCTAGATAACCATTGTTCTAATTTCTTTTCCTTCCCTTCCTTCCCTTCCTTCCTTCCTCCCTCCCTCTCTTTTTCTTTTTTTCGTGTGTGTGTGTGTGTGTGTGTGTGTGTGTGTTTGTGTGTGTGTGTGTGAGACAGGGTCTCGCTCTGTAGCCCAGGCTGGAGTACAGTGGAGCAATCTCGACTCACTGTGACCTCTGCCTCCCATGGTTCAAGCAATTCTCCTGCCTCAGCCTCCCAAGTAGCTGGGATTACAGGCAGGCACCACCATGCCCAGCTAATTTTTACATTTTTTAGTAGAGATGAGATTTTGCCAGGTTGGCCAGGCTGGTCTTCAACTCCTGACCTCAGGTGATCCACTCACCTCAACTTCCCAAAGTGCTAGGTTTACAGGCATGAGCTACCATGTTCAGCCTCACTGTGGTTTTCATATACATTTCTCTAATGAATTTTGATGTTGAATATCTATTTCATATGCTTATTGGACATTTGGAAATCTTCATTTGTGAAGTGACTTTTCTTTTTTTCTTTTTTTTTTTTTTTTTTTTGAGACGGAGTCTTGCTCAGTCGCCCAGGCTGGAGTGCGGTGGCCGGATCTCGGCTCACTGCAAGCTCCGCCTCCTGGGTTCTTGCCATTCTCCTGCCTCAGCCTCCCAAGTAGCTGGGACTACAGGCGCCCGCCACCACACCCGGCTAGTTTTTTGTATTTTTAGTAGAGACGGGGTTTCACCATGTTAGCCATGATGGTCTCGATCTCCTGACCTCGAGATCCGCCTGTCTCGGCCTCCCAAAGTGCTGGGATTACAGGCGTGAGCCACCACGCCCGGCCTGTGAAGTGACTTTTCAAGTTTTTGTCTATTATTTTGTGTATTGTGTTTCTGAGAAAGACATTTCAGGCAGAGGAAGTAGTGAGACGGCATGGAGTGGCTTGAAATGTAAACTGTAAGGTGGGGAGGAGGTGTAGAGAGCTAATATTATTATCACTGATTTATACATAAGAAACTGCAACATAAAGAAGCTAAATAACTCACTTGAATAAGTGGGAGAGCCAGTATTTAAATTTAGGCTCCAGTGTCTGTGCTCTTAACCACTGCAATACGCTGTCTCTAAAATACATAGGGGTGAAAGGAACCTTACAAGATTATCTGGTCTGGACTAATCCTTTTATTTATTTATTTATTCATTCTTTTAGAGATGGGGTCTTACTATGTTGCCCAGGCTGGAGTGTAGGGGCTATTCACAGGCATGATTATTGCACAATACAGCCTCCAACTCCTGGCCTCAAACGATCCTCCCACCTCAGCCTCTTGCTTAGCTGGGAGTACAGTCTTTTTTTGTTGTTGTTGTTGTTTCCCAGACAGGGTCTCACTCTGTCACCCAGGCTGGGGTGCGGTGGTGCAATCTTGGCTCACTTCAATCTCCGCCTCCTGAGCTCAAGCGATTCTCATGCCTCAGCCTTTTGAGTAGCTGGGATAACAGGCATGTACCACCAAGCCCCAAAAATTTTTGTATTTTTGGTTGAGATAGGGTTTCACCACGTTTTCCATGCTGGTCTTGAACTCCTGGCCCCAAGTGAACTGCCCGCCTTGGCCTCCCAAAGGGCTTGAATTAGAGGGGTGAGCCACTGTGCCTGGCCAGTCTTTATTTTGTTTATTTTTTAAATTTTGTTTTGTCATGTTAAAATATACGTAATATAAAGTTGACTGATTCTTTTTTTTTTTTTTTTTTGAGACGGGGTCTCGCTCTGTCGCCTAGACTGGAGTGCAGTAGCGGGATCTCAGCTCACTACAAGCTCCGCCCCCCGGGTTCACGCAATTCTCCTGCCTCAGCCTCCCGAGTAACTGGGACTACAGGCACCCGCCACCTCGCCCGGCTGTTTTTTTTTTTTTTTTTTTTTTTTTGTATTTCTTGTAGAGACGGGGTTTCACCGTGTTAGCCAGGATGGTCTCAATCTCCTGACCTTGTGATCCGCCCGTCTCGGCCTCCCAAAGTGCTGGGATTGCAGGCTTGAGCCACCGCGCCAGGCCAAGTTGACCGATTCTTAATGCCCAACGGGTTCTTCTGCATAGATAAAACCAGTTCACTGAGACAATGGTTTTACAGTAAAGAAAGTTTAATTATTGCAGGGCCAGCCAAGCAGAAAGACAGGAGATATTTTTCCAATTTGCCTTTTTGAAAGCTTGGAGGCTGGGTTTTTTTGTTTGTTTGTTACGTTTTTTGAGATGGAGTCTCGCTGTGTTGCCCAGGCTGGAGTGCAGTGGTATGATCTCGGCTCACCACAGCCTCCGCCTCCTGGGTTCAAGCGATTCTTCTGCCTCAGCCTCCCGACTAACTGGGACTACAGGCCTGAGCCACAGTGCCCTGCCAATGTGTGTGTGTGTGTGTGTGTGTGTGTGTGTGTGTGTGTGTGTGGTTTTTTTTTCTTTTTGAGATGGAGTCTCGCTCTGTCACCAGGCTGGAGTGCAGTGGCGTGATCTTGGCTCACTGCAACCTCTGCCTCCCAGATTCAAGCGATTCTCCTGCCTCAGCCTCCGGAGTAGCTGGGACCACTGGCGTGTTCCACCACGCCCGGCTAATTTTTTGTATTTTAGTAGGGACAAAGTTTCACCATGTTGACCAGGATAGTTTCAATCTCTTGACCTTGTGATCCACCCACCTTGGCCTCCCAAAGTGCTGGGATTACAGGCCTGAGACACCGTGCCCGGCCAATTTTTTTGTATTTTTAGTAGAGATGGGATTTCACCTTGTTGGCCAGGCAAGTCTCAAAACTCCTGACCTCAGGTGATCCGCTCGCCTTGGCCTCCCAAAGTGCTGGGATTACAGGTGTAAGCCACTGCGGCTGGCCAATTTGGATGCTTTTATTAATTTTTTCTTGCCTAATTGCTAGAGCTTTCAATACTACGTTAAATCAAAGTAATAAAAGTGGCCAGGTGCAGTGGCTCATACTTTTAAACCTAGCACTTTGGGAGGCTGCAGCAGGAGGATCACATGAGCCCAGTAAAAAATTAGCTGGGCACAGTGGCATCCATTTGTAGTTCTAGCTACTCAGTAGGCTGAGACAGGAGGATCACTTAAGCCCAGGAGTTTGAGGATGCAATGAGCCATGATCATGCCATTGCACTCCAGCCTGGGCAACAGAGCAAGACTCTGTCTCAAAAAAATAAAATAAATAAAAATAAAAGCAAGCATCCTTGTCTTGTTATTTAATCCTTTCATTTTATAGAAGTGAAAATGTAGTCCCTGAGAGAAGAATTTGTTTGCCCAAAGTTATGCAAGTTCACAGCAAAGCAGGAGTTAATATCAAATCTCTTAACTTCAGATTCAGTATTCTGTTATATTCAGTTGAAGAATTAAGGATAACTGGTTATGGAAAGGAGGCAACATGATTCTTTTATTCTCAGTTCACTTAGAATATTTTCATGTGAATAAGTCATACTAGGTGATGGTAGTGAGATATTTTAATATTATAGGATTTTGGATTTGTAACTCTGAATTGTTAGATCTGATGTGTGTAACCTAAATGTATACTTAAGTGTCAGAATGTCATTCTTCTTTTATTTCTTCAGTGCGGTTAAAATCGGAACTGATATGCTAGAATTGGACTGCCATATCACAAAAGATGAACAAGTTGTAGTGTCACATGATGAGAATCTAAAGAGAGCAACTGGGGTCAATGTAAACATCTCTGATCTCAAATACTGTGTAAGTAAAAATGCATGATAAACTAAGAGCTAATAGGTGTCACGGCCTGTAATATTTTTTTAAAAAATAGTGAATATCAGATATTGCTTCAGTAAAAAATTTCTAATATTATTTAAATACTGATTAAATACTAAATGTCAAAGGAAATTTTTAAAAACTATTTTGAGGCCAAGTGTGCTGGCTCATGCCTGTAATTCCAGCACTTTGGGAGGCTGAGGTGGGAGGATTGTTTGAGGCCAGGAGTTTGAGATCAGGCTGGGCAACATAGCAAGACTCCATCTTTATTAAAATATAGGAAAATTGGCTGGACACGGTGGCTCCGCCTGTAATCCCGGCACTTTGGGAGGCTGAGTCGGGTGGATCACCCAAGGTCAGGAGTTCGAGATCAGCCTGGCCAACATGGTGAAACCTCATCTCTACTAAAAATACAAAAATTAGCCAGGCATGATGTTGCACACCTGTAATCCCAGCTACTCAGGAGGCTGAGGCAGGAGAATCGCTTGAACCCAGGAGGTGGAGGTTGCAGTGAGCTGAGATGATGCCACTGCACTCCAGCCTCAGCAACAGAGCAAGACTCCATCTTAAAAAAAAAAAAAAAAAGAAGGGGGGGGAAATTGTTTAGGTATGGTGGCATATACCTATGGTCCCAGCTACTCAGGAGGCCGAGGTGGGAAGATCACTTGATCCCAGGAAGTTGAGGCTACAGTGGGCCAAGATTGTACCACTGCACTCCAGCCTGGGTGAAAGAGTGAGACCCTGTCTCAAAAACGAAATGAGGCAGGGCACAGTGGCTCACGCCTATAATCCCAACACTGTGGGAGACCGAGGCGGGCGGATCACCTGAGGTCAGGAGTTTGAGACCAGCCTGGCCAACATGGCGAAACCCCATCTCTACTAAAAAATACAAAAATTAGCTGGGCGTGGTGGTGCCCCTGTAATCCCAGATACTTGGGAGGCTGAGGCAGGAGAATCGCTTGAACCTGGGAGGCGGAGGTTGCAGTGAGCCAAGATTGCGCCACTGCACTCCAGCCTGGGCAAGAGTGAGCCTCTGTCTCAAGAAAAAAAAAAAAAAAGATCATTATAATGTACATATTAATTATAGTAAATACTGATGAATGGAAGGAAAAATCATGCATAAAGTTACTACCAAAAAAACACTTATGTTAACAGGATTCTACCTTATGTAGAAGGATTCTACCTTTTATGTTTTTTAGATTTGTATTCTCACTGCGCATCATGTATGTAGAATTTTAGACACTTTAACATTATAACATGATAATGGCCGGCCTCAGTGGCTCACATCTGTAATCTCAGTACTTTGGGAGGGTGAGGCGGGCGGATCACCAGGGGTCAGGAATTCGAGACTAGCCTGGCCAACATGGCAAAACCCCGTCTCTACTAAAAATACAAAAATTAGCTGGGCAGACAGATCACCTGAGGTCAGGAGTTGGGGACCGCCCTGGCCAACATGGTGAAACCCCATCTCTACTAAAAATACAAAAATTAGCTGGGTGTGTTGGCGTGCGTCTGTAATCCTAGCTATTCAGGAGGCTGAGGTAGGAGAATCGCTTAAACCCAGGAGGCAGAGGTTGCAGTGACCGAGATCATGCCATTGCACTCCAGCCTGGGCAATGGAAAGCATGGAAAAATGTTTATCATTTATAATGTTTCCTTTTTCTTTTTTTTATTATAATGTTTCTCTTTTTGTCTTTCTTTCTTTCTTTTTTTTTTTTTAAGACGGAGTCTCACTCTTTTCAACCAGAGCGAGAGTAGCTGGGATTACAAGCGTGCACCACCACACCTGGCTAATTTTTGTGTTTTTAGTAGAGACGGGGTTTCACCATGTTGGCCAGGCTGGTCTTGAACTCCTGACCTCAGGTGATCCTCCTGCCTTGGCTTCCCAAAGTGCTGGGATTACAGGTGTGAGCCACCGTGCCCAGCCTTTTCCATGCTTTAAAGAAATTAGACTTTATTTTTTAGATAAGTTTCAGGTTTATAGCAAAATTGAGTGGAAAATACAGAGTTCCCACATACCTGCACAGTTACCACACAGACACAGGGTCCCCCGCTTTTAACAGCTGCACCAGAGTGGTACATACATTGACACAATATTATTGCTCATAGTCCATAGTTTACATTAGGGTTCACTCTTGTACATTCTGTGGTTTTGGACAAATTTATAATGATATGTATCCAGTAATTATACTATTATACAAAATGTTTCCACTGCTCTAAAAATTCTGTGTTCTGCCTATTCAGTCCCCCTTCCCTCATCCCCTGCCAACCACTGATCTTTTTACTGTTTCCATAGTTTTGTCTTTTCCAGAGTGTCATATAGTTGGAATCATACTGTATTTGACCTTTCAGATTCCATGCTTATCTTTCATAAACATTTCAAATGACTATAGCCATTCCATTGTGTGGATATATAGTTATTTTTAACCATTCTTCTATTGTTGGACATTGGATTAGCTCTAAGTTTTCACCATTATAGATAACACTGCACTGAATTTATTTTATTTTATTTTTTTTCTTTTGAGACAGAGATTCGCTCTTGCCACCCAGGCTGGAGTACAATGGTGCAATCTCGGCTCACTGCAGCCTCCACCTCCCAGGTTCAAGCAATTCTCCTGCCTCAGCCCCCCAAGTAGCTGGGATTACAGGCATGCGCCACCACACCTGCCTAATTTTTTGTATTTAGTAGAGACAGGGTTTCACCATGTTGGTCAGGCTGGTCTCGAACTCCTGACCTCAGATGATCTGCCCGCCTCAGCCTCCCAAAGCGCTGGGATTATAGGGGTGAGCCACTGTGCCCGGCCTGCACTGCACAGCTTTATGCATAAAGATTAAAGCTTTCTCTATCTTTAGCTTTTTATTTTTAAAGATATATAAATATTTGTATTTATAAAAGTTATTTATATAACGTTTTCTCTATTTTAAGATTATTTCTCTAAATATACTCCCAGAAGGGAAATTATTGGGTAAAAGAACATTTGCCAGCTGGGTGCGGTGGCTCATGCCTGTAGTCCCAGTGCTTTTGGAGTCTGAGGCCTTCCAAAAGAAGGCCTCCCAAAAGGACAGATCCTTCTGAAGATCCACTGAGCTCAGACGATCAAGGCTACAGCGAGGTATAATTGCGCTACTGCACTCCAGCCCAGGCAATAGAGTGAGACCCTGTCTCAAAAATAAAATAAAATAAAATAAAAATAATATTTACTAGTATTGAGCATTATAATAATACCAAATTTGCTAATTAAATTTTAATTAACATTTCATTAATTATTAATGAGTTTAAAGATCTATTTAATTGTTAGTTATTTTTCTTTTATTTTCATTGAATTGTGTATTCTTGACATTTTTCTACTGAAATCTTTGTATATTATTGTGAAAAGGTCTATATTAAATAGTACGGATATATTTTTTGTAGATGGCATACGTAAGTAATATGGTTAATTTGCTGTTGGGGATGTTCTGATAAAGGGTGCCTATGTAAACATGTTTTGTAGTGTTTTACTCTTCTATATGTTGAAAAAGCGTATCTTTGTGTCTTAATGTAAGACATTAAAATCTTATTATTTTTTGAGAGTTAACTTTTTTTTTGATCATGTCTTTTAAAGGAGCTCCCACCTTACCTTGGCAAACTGGATGTCTCATTTCAAAGAGGTAATATTTTTTGTTTGTAGCTTAAACATTCGTGTTGAGAAGCATATGTGTGTTTTCTTGTCATAGTAAGTTCTTACTAAAAGTAACTGGCCTCTAAGCTTGTTCCCTCAGGCCTACAAATCTGAAGCCTTGAAAATTATCTGACGTGAAATTATCAGGTCCAAAGAGTTAACTGATTCATGCTACTTAAATTCACATACAGTTAATTTAAACCTGAATACTGATTGCAAGAAACATTTCACTTCTAAAGGTTCAAATTCTAGAATATTGCTGCAACTTATAGTAGTCATCCATCAAAAAAATATAATAAAAAATAAATGAAAAGGGCTGGGCACGGTGGCTCACGACTGTAATCCCAGCACTTTGGGAGGCTGAGGCAGGCAGATCACTTTAGGTCAAGAGTTTGAGACCAGCCTAGCCAACATGGCAAAACCCCATCTCTACTAAAAATACAAAAAATATTAGCCAGGCATGATGATGTGCACCTGTAATCCCACCTACTTGGGAGGCTGAGGCAGGACAATCATTTGAACCCGGGAGGCGGAGGTTGCAGTGAGCCGAGATCGCGCCATTGCACTCCAGCCTGGCAATGAGAGCGAAACTCTGTCTAAAATGATAATAATAATAATGAAAATAAAATAAATAATAAATAAATAAATAAAAAGAAATGGAAAGGACCCCTTTCAAATCCTTTCTGGTTCCATAATATTTAATTCTGTCTTTTAGCTGCTCCATATTTTAAATGATTAAACAGACTTCTGTCGTTCAAATAAACCATTTTCTAGTCATCTTCACTTAGCAGTTTTCTTCTGAGGGAACATTTCTCACAAAGAAACATGTCCCTTGACCCAACTTGTTAGTTACTGCAGATGTTAGAATGGAAAATATACCACCTTAAGATATGTACTGAACAGATACAGGCTCCCTCATTGTCACAAGGGACGTTGTCTCACATTTTTTAGTGATTCAAATGTATAACTCAATAAAACCATAAGATGTTACATCTCATGAATCTTTTTTTTTTTTTTTTATTTTTTTTTTTTTTTTTTTTGAGACGGAGTCTCGCTCTGTCGCCGGGGCTGGAGCGCAGTGGCCGGATCTCAGCTCACTGCAAGCTCCGCCTCCCGGGTTTACGCCATTCTCCTGCCTCAGCCTCCTGTGTAGCTGGGACTACAGGCGCCCGCCACCTCGCCTGGCTAGTTTTTTGTATTTTTTTAGTAGAGACGGGGTTTCACCGTGTTCGCCAGGATGGTCTCGATGTCCTGACCTCGTGATCCGCCCGTCTCGGCCTCCCAAAGTGCTGGGATTACAGGCTTGAGCCACCGCGCCCGGCCACATCTCATGAATCTTGGTATGATTTAGTTGAAACCTTGGTTAAATGTCAGCTCCATTTATATTAATTTTTTAAAAGAACTGTAACTGCTCCACGAACTAGATTTAAAATTGGCCAAGCCAGGTGTGGTGACGTACACCTCTAGTCCCAGCTACTTGGGAGACTGAGTTGGGAGGCTTGTTTGAGCCCAAGAGTTGGGAGTCTAGCTTGGGCTACATAGCAAGACCCTGTCTCTAAAATTAAAAAAAAAAAAAAAAAAAAATTGACCACGGATAGGGGAATTTTTGAAAAGGAAATAAAAATCAGAAAAAGTTTAACATTAGTTATTTCTAAGGGATATTTAAACCTCAGATGTGTTTGATTTCAATTTCTAGGTAAGTTGAAGTTGTTGGTTTGAGGAAACCTTTCTTCATTCTTGTAGTTTATAGAATTATACTTGCCAAGCTATTGTAATATTTGTGTCAATTTTGGACTTGTGAAAGTTAAGAAAATTTCAGAAATGAAGTTTTTCCTATTTTTCCCTTTGTAGAGCAAAGCCAAAGAAAGCCCCATAAAAATTTAAAAATCCAGCAGATGTGGTAGCTCACACCTATAATCTCAGCACTTTGAGAGGCCAAGGCGGGAGGGTTGCTTGAGACCAACAGTTTGAAACCAGCCTGGGCAACATAGCGAGACCCCGTCTCTAAAAAAAATATTAGCCAGTCATGGTGGCATGTGCCTATAGTCCCAGCTATTGAAGAGACTTGAGGTGGGAGGATCCCTTGAGCCTGGGAGTTGAAGGCTATAGTGAGCTATGCTCACACCACTATGCTCCAGCCTGGGTGACAGAGTGAGACCTTGTCTCAAAAAAAAAAAAAAACCTTTGAGGGAAAAAAAAGTTTAAAATTTTTCCTGGTTTTGTATGTCCCTCATAAAGTCATGAAACTGTTTCTTCTTTTTTTTGAGACAGAGTCTTGCTCTGTTGCCCAGGCTGGAGTGAAGTAGCTCAATCTCAGCTCACTGCAACCTCCACCTCCTGGGTTCAAGAGATTCTCATGCCTCAGCCACCTGAATAGCTGAGATACAGGTGCCTGCCACCACACCCGGCTAATTTTTTTATTTTTAGTAGAGATGAGGTTTCACCATGTTGGCCAGGCTGGTCTGGAATTCCTGGCCTCAATTGATTTACCTGACCCCCCTCGGCCTCCCAGAATGCTAGGATTACAAGCATGAGCCACCACACCCAGCCGGTTTTTGAATGTGAAGAGACCTTTGAGACTGTCTAATCTTGTCTTCTGTTATAGACAAGGAAATTGAAGTCTAAAGATGTAAACTAACTTAATCAAGTTCATATAATAAGGAAATAACAATGCTAGAACTTGAACTAGGTCTCTCTCTTAGCAGACCAGTGTTCAACTGTACCATACTGCCTCTCCATTGGAACACTATTCTCAAATGTTGTATTAAGAACAATGCTGTGGGTCCGGTGCAGTGGCTCACACCTGTAATCCCAGCACTTTGGGAGGCCGAGGCAGGTGGATCACCTGAGGTTAGGAGTTTGAGACCAGCCTGGCCAACATGGTGAAACCCTATTTCTACTAAAAATACAAAAATTAGCCGGGCTTGGTGACGTGCACCTGTAATTCCAGCTACTTGGGAGGCTGAGGCAGGAGAAGCACTTGAACCTGGGAGGCAGAGGTTGCAGTGAGCTGAGATCGCGCCATTGTACTCCAACCTGGACAACAAGAGCAAGACTCTGTCTCAAAAAAAAAAAAAAAGGAACAATGCTGTGGGAAAAAAAAAAAGAACAACACTGTGTACTGTCAAGTTTCAGATATCTGAAAGGAATAATAATAATTAGCTTTCCTTTTATATTGCATTCATCTCATATCATAATTGACTTTAGACTGATCCTCAGATGTGGAGTTGACTGCATTTGGAACAGACTAATAAACTGTGTGTAAAAATTTGACTCAGAACCATGGCAGTGGCTCACATCTGTAATCCCAGCACTTTGGGAGGCTAAGGCAGGAGGATCACTTGATCCCAGGAGTTCGAGACCGGCCTGGGCCACATACAGAGACTCCATCTTTACAAAGATAATAAAAATAATATTAGCCAGGCATGGTGGTATGCACCTGTGGTCCTAGCTAGGGAGGCTGAGGTGGGGGGATTGCTGAGCCCAGGAGGTGGAGGCTGCAGTGAGCCTTGATTGTGTCACTGCACAAAGTGAGATTCTGTCTCAGAAAAAAAAGAAAAAAGAAAAAGAGAAAAGAAAACAAGAAACTTGACTCAGATTTGTCAAAAAGTGGTTCCGTTTTTTCTATCCTATTCCCTTGCATAGAATTCTTGCTTACCAGGCCGGGCACAGTGGCTCACACCTGTAATCCCAGCACTTTGGGAGGCCGAGGCAGGTGGACCACTTGAGGTTAGGAGTTTGAGACCAGCTTGGCCAACATGGCGAAACCCTGTCTCTACTAAAAATACAAAAATTTTAAAATTTTTATTTTTGTTTTTTGAGATGAACTTTTGCTTCTGTCGCCCAGTGGCACAATCTCAGCTCACTGCAACCGCTGCCTCCCAGGTTCAAGCGATCCTCCTGCCTCAGCCTCCCGTATAGTTGGGATTACAGATGCCCTCCACCACTCCCAACTAATTTTTGTATTTTTAGTAGAGACGAGGTTTCACCACGTTGGCCAGGCTGGTCTTGAATTCCTGACCTCAGGTGATCCGCCTACCTCTTTGTCCCAAAGGGCTGGGATTAGTCATGAGCCACCATGCCTAGCCAAAATACAAAAATTAGCCAGGTGTGGTGCTGCACACCTGTAGTCCCAGCTACTTGGGAGGCTGAGGCTGGAGAATCACTTGAACCCGGGAGGCAGAGGTTGCAGTGAGCCAAGATCATGCCATTGCACTCCAGCCTGGGCAACAGAGCAAGACTGTCTCAAAAAAAAAAAAAAAAAAAAAATGCTGAATTGGCCTGACACAGTGGCTCACACCTGTAATCCTCAAACTTTGGGAGGTCGAGGCAGGAAGATCCCTGAGGTCAGGAGCTCGAGACCAGCCTGGCCAATGTGGTGAAACCCCATCTCTACTAAAAATACAAAAATTAGCTGGACATGGTGGCATGTGCCTGTTCTCCCAGCTACTTCGGAGACTGAGGCAGGAGAATCGCTTGAACTGGGAGATGGAGATTGCAGTGAGCTGAGATCATGCCACTGCACTTCAGCCTGGGCAACAGAACGAGACTTTGCCTCAAAAAAAACAAAACAAAACAAAAGTGTTAACCAAAGGGTTTGTTATTATCTATCCCAATTAGTTGAAAGTAACCTTTTTTTTTTTTTCACGGAAAACGCATAATTTGGATAATCTAGAGTTGACTATAATTATCATTTTAGAGTTCCCCAAATAGTGAAAACTATTTAGTGGCCCCTAACTTGCATAGGGGCCACTATTCCATCAACCAACACATCCTATGGCATACTCCTTGTCTATTTTTCCTATTTCCTATTATTTTCCTCTTTTCTTTTTATAGTACACCACTTCCTAGCTGGTTACCTTCTGCCTAGAAAAATACTGGGGCAAACTTCTCTTTTTCCACATGTTTTTCTACATTCTAAACTGGCTGAGGCATCTAATTTATGCATTATTTTTTTTTTTTTTTTTGAGACGGAGTCTCGCTCTGTCGCCCAGGCTGGAGTGCAGTGGCTGGATCTCGGCTCACTGCAAGCTCCGCCTCCCGGGTTCACGCCATTCTCCTGCCTCAGCCTCCCGAGTAGCTGGAATTACAGGCGCCCGCCACCTCGCCCGGCTAGTTTTTTGTATTTTTTAGTAGAGATGGGGTTTCACCGTGTTAGCCAGGATGGTCTCGATCTCCTGACCTTGTGATCCACCCGTCTTGGCCTCCCAAAGTGCTGGGATTACAGGCTTGAGCCACCGCGCCCGGCCGCATTATTATTTTTAAGTAGAGATCGGGTCTCGATATTGTTGGTCCGATGGGTCTTGAATTCTTGGCCTCAAGCAATCTTCCTGCCTCAACCTTACAAAGTGCTGAGATTCCAGGAGTGAGCCACTGCACCTGGCCTAATATTTGTATCTTTACATCACTGTAGCACTTTTTTTTTTTCTCAGCACGCATTTTAGTTTTCTCATTCCCTCGCTGTTAGATAGAATATTCTTATGTGTTATTTTGCTGTTCCAAAGTTAGTTTCATCTGTTTGACCTTTTTTGTAAACTGATTCTTACATGCATCGTACTTGACTGCTAAATTAATTTTTTAATTTGCCCACACCGTGACAAAAAGGCAGTCTTCCTTATGAGCTTCAAGCATGAAGTCCCAGAGAAAGACACTGATTGGCCCACCTTGGGTCATGTGGCCATCTTGAAGAAAAGAAGTGGGCTATTATGATTATATGCCCACCCCCGAGGGTGAATGGGCAGTGGGTAGTGTGTTGACAGCCCTATCGGAACAATGTGAGATAAGGAGATACGATGTGAAATACAGGTTTCCAAAGGAAGGAAGAATATTGGTGGCTAATGCCTATAATCCCAGCATTCAAGGAGGCCATGGTGAGAGGATCCCTTGAGGCCAGGAATTCAAGGCCAACGTGGTAAATAAAGCAAGACTTCATCTCTACTTAAAAAATAAAGGGGGGTGGGGGAGCCAGGCATGGTGGCTCACGCCTGTAATCCCAACACTTTGGGAGGCCAAGGTGGGCAGATCACCTGAGGTTGGGAGTTCAAGACCAGCCTGACCAACATGGAGAAACCCTGTCTTTACTAAAAATACAAAATTAGCCAGGCGTCGTGGGGCAGATGCCTGTAATCCCAGGTACTCCAGAGACTAAGGCAGGAGAATTGCTTGAACCCTGGAGGCGGAGGTTGTGGTGAGCCGAGATGGCACCGCTGCACTACAGGCTGGGCAACAGAGCGAGACTCCGTCTCCAAAAAAAAAAAAAGAAGAAAAGAAAAAGCCGGGTATGTTGGCACATGCCTCTAATCTCAGCTATTCGGAGGCTGAGGCAGGAGGATCACTGGAGCTGAGTTCAAGGCTGCTGTGAGCTGTGGTCATGCCACTGCACTCCAGCCTGGGTGACAGATTGAGACCCTGTCTCAAAAAATATATATATATAAATATATATATATATATGTATGTATATGTATACAAGCTATCTACTATAAACATAATTTTTAAAGTTTAATTATGTAGCCTATGATAAGTTCAAACTCTTTCAGTTATAAGTGTTAGATATACATCTCAAGATAGCTTAAGAAAAAAATTTTAAAAAGAATGTATTGGCTTTCATAATTAGAAAGTCCAGGGGTTATATGCCCTCAGACATGACTGATTCCAGTTGCTCAAGCAATAATTGGTCTCTCTCTATCTCCGTTTCTTGCTTTTGCTTTCATTTGTGTTAGCTTTGCTTTTAGGGACACCCTTTCCACAGAGATGAACTCTTGGCAGCTTGTACATGATCCATTCAGCAAAGGATTTCAAGAGGCCTTCTCTCCCAGTGTCCATATTGTTATGCTTAACAGGTTAGACTGGTCATATATTTAGTCTGTGGTCAGAGAGGCAGAGCCAATAATTGCCAGTCCTATCAGAGTAACCCAGACCCCCGTCAGAATTACAAGAAGTATAGTAACAGACTTCCTTTTTTCCTCTTTAATGTACATGCTGCTTTTCACATAGGTTCTAATTATAAATAATTTAATTTTCTGACATGGATTTCATTTACTTTTTGATAATGCATTTTTTTGATTTGCTGTATAATAAGATGGAATAAAGGATTTTTCACCAGTTTGTTATTTGCAGATTAGCGGAATTGAAGTTTTGGGTGGAAGCAGAACAATTTTTACAATAGTTGTATAGTATGTATAGTAAATTATATAAATGATTAGAGTCATTAGAGTCAAAAGGGACTAGAGAGCCAGGTGTGGTGGCTCACACCTGTAATCCCAGCACTTAGGGAGGCTGAGGTGGCAGGTTTGCTTGAGATCAGGAGTTCAAGACCAGCCTGGGCAAAATACAATGAGACCCTGTTGCTACAAAAAATAAAACAAGGCCGGGCGCGGTGGCTCAAGCCTGTAATCCCAGCACTTTGGGAGGCCGAGATGGGCGGATCACAAGGTCAGGAGATCGAGACCATCCTGGCTAACACAGTGAAACCCCGTCTCTACTAAAAAATACAAAAAAAAAAAAACTAGCCGGGCGAGGTGGTGGGCGCCTGTAGTCCCGGCTACTCGGGAGGCTGAGGCAGGAGAATGGCGTAAACCCGGGAGATGGAGCTTGCAGTGAGCTGAGATCCGGCCACTGCCCTCCAGCCTGGATGACAATCTTTTTTTTCTGTCTCAAAAAAAAAAAAAATTAAAAATTAAAAAACAAAAAAACAAAAAATAGGCCAGGTGCAGTGGCTCACGCTTGTAATCCCAGCACTTTGGGAGGCCGAGGCTGCTGGATCACTGGAGGCCAGGAGTTTGAGACCAGCCTGGCCAACATGGTGAAACCCCGCCTCTACTAAAATTACAAAAATGTAGCCAGTTGTGGTGCCAGGCACCTGTAATCCCAGCTACTCAGGAGGCTGAAGCAGAATTGCTTGAACCCGGGAGGCGGAGGTTGCAGTGAGCCGAGATCACACCACTGCACTCCAGCCTGGGCAACAACATCGAAAATCCATCTCAAAAAAAAAAATGTGTGTATATATATATATATAGAGAGAGAGAGAGAGAGAGAGAGATATGTATATATACTCTATATAGAGAGAGTATATAGTATATATATTATATACAGTATATATATTATATATTATATATATAATATGTGTGTGTGTATATATATATAGAGAGAGAGAGATGGGCGTGGTGGTGCGTGCCTGTCGTCCCAAAGGATTGCTGGAGTGTGGGAGGCTGCAGTGAGTCATCATGCTACTGCACCCCAACCTTGGCTATGAGCAAGATCCTGTCTCAAAAACACAACAAAAAAGGGCTGAGTACGTGGTTCATGCCTGTAATCGCAGCCCTTTGGGAGGCCGAGGTGGGCATATCACTTGAACACAGGATTTTGAGACCAGCCTGGCCAAATCCAAAACCCCATCTCTACAAAAACTACAAAAAAATTAGCCGAGCATGGTGGTGTTCCTGTAGTTCCAGCTACTCAGGAGGCTAAAGTGGGAGGATCACTTGAGCCCAGAAGGCAGAGGTTGCAGTGAGCCGAGATTGTGTCACTGCACTCCAGTCTGGGTGACCGAGTGAGACCCTGTCTCAAACAAACAACCAACCAGCCAACCAAAGGGACTAGAGAAAGACTAAAGAAAATAATCCTCAGGAAATATAAACAACAATTAAAGTCCCCTTCTAATTTTCTCATTACTTGAATTTTCTTTGAATAACTGCATTCATGTAATTCTTCAACACATTACTGATTTAGTGTATACTTCCCTTGCCTGAATGTTATTTTTAATCTCTGAAAAAGTCAATGATGATATAGCAAAACTTTAGAAACAATCTCAGTATCTACTAGTAGGGAAATGGTTAAATTAAAATAAATTATTGTATAGCTACTCAATGGAGTATTCTGACACCTTTTAAAAAATTATGATAGAATCAGATCGGTGGATTGTATCAATGTCAGTATCATGGTTGTGATATCGTTCTATAGATCTGCAAGAAAGTTACCACTGGGAAGTCTGGATAAAGGGTACATGGACCCTATTATTTCTTACAATTGATTGTGAGTCTGTAGTTATCTCAAAATAAAAAATTAATAAAAAATAAATCATAATCATAAGCACAGTAAATCAACAGGAAAATACTTATTTTTATGTGAAAATATCAAGTTAAAATCTGTAGCATATCATATTATTACTATATTAAATCATGCATAGGAAAAAAGAGTAGAGAAAGTACACCAAATGGTCATAGCGTTTATATCTAAGTTGTTGGATTTACATGATTTTTTTCTTCTCTATACTTTTTCTTATTTTGTAAATGTCCTTTAATGAATATATTCTATACCTTTTCTAGTCATCAAAAAGCAAAACTTGTATTTTAAAAATACATTTAAAAATCTTGCTTTCTCAGCATGCCAATGTGAAGGAAAAGATAACCGAATTCCATTACTGAAGGAAGTTTTTGAGGCCTTTCCTAACACTCCCATTAACATCGATATCAAAGTCAACAACAATGTGCTGATTAAGAAGGTACTCAAGGCATTGCCTCCTCTGGGTGTGTTGCATCCTATTTCACAAACTAAATAAGGTTAGAGTAGGTGACTGCATAGATTGATAATGCTCAAGGAAATGTGATACCCTAGGGATCAGCATTGTTTTAAATAATGCCCTAGCAGAAGAGATCATGTTACTGTAGGAGAGCCTATTTTCAGAGAGAGTTGGCGTGTCATGGATAAAGTATGCTTGTATGAACCAGTCATTCTGGCATTTATATAATTATCTTCTAGTTTAACTTGTTTCATTCGTGGTTAGTTTATGTCAAATTACTAAATAACTGTATTCTGTTAAATAAATTATATAATGATATAATGTGAATAAATTTTGCATTTTATAAAATATTCTAAATTTACATAATATTCTTCTAAAATATTATGCTATTCATTGACAGAGAGTCAATCCTAATTCATTTTTTAAGTGAAATGTTAGTGGATTTGCAAATAGGCACATGCATAAAATTTTGAATTTTCACATGTAGGTTTCAGAGTTGGTGAAGCAGTATAATCGCGAACACATAACAGTGTGGGGTAATGCCAATTATGAAATTGTAGAAAAGTGCTACAAAGAGGTAAGCTTCAAAAATTATACAGAATTATCTATTTTTGTTGTTGTTTTTGTATCTATAAATGATAAGTTATTATACTAATAATTTTTTTTTCTTTTTCTCATTTTTAGAGATAGGGTCTCACTCTGTCACCCAGGCTAGAGTGCAGTGGTGCAGTCATAGCTTACTGTAGCCTCAAACTCCTGGGCTCAAGTGATCCTCCTGCCTCAGCCTCCCAAGTAACTGGGACTCCAGGCACACACCACTGCACCTAGCTAATTTTTAAATCTTTAGTAGAGATGAGGTCTCACTATGTTACACACTCTGATCTCAAACTCTTGGACTCAAGCAATCCTCCTACCTTGGCTTCCCAAAGTGCTGGGATTACAGGTGTGAGCCACTGTGCCCGGCCCCTATTACAGTAATAATTTTTAAAACTTACCTTATTTCAGACTGGGCACAGTGGCTCACGCCTGTAATCCCAACACTTTGGGAGGCCAAGGCGGGCAGATCACCTGAGGTCAGGAGTTTGAGATTAGCCTGGCCAACATGGCAAAACCACGTCTCTATTAAAAATACAAAAATTAGCTGGGCATGGTGGCACGTGCCTGTAGTCCCACCTACTCGTGAGGCTGAGGCAGAAGAATCGCTTGAACCCGGGAAGCTGGGTGACAGAGCCAGACTCTGTCTCCAAAAACAAAAAAAAACTTATCTTATTTCATAACCTTCATACACAGGTAGATGGTACTGGGTGGAAGCAACTAGCCAGAAGTTTAATATAGTAGAGGTAATGGATTTGGACCTAGCAATATAAGATCAATGCAGTTGAACTGGTTCAAGGAATTATTATTTTCACATGTTAGTGTTAGTTGCTTACCAATATTTCATTATGTGTATTAAAGGAAAAAATATGGTTTCTATCTTTTAATCACTGTCTTGTGTTAGGTAACTGAAATTTTTTGTGTAATTTTGAGTTAAATTATTTAGCTGGGCACGGTGGCTCATGCCTGTAATCTCAGCACTTTGGGAGGCCAAAGTGGGAGGATTGCTTGAGCCCAGGTGTTTGAGACCAGCCTGGACAACATAGTCAGACCCCCTGTCTGTTATTATTATTATTAATTATTTTTAATTTTCTTTTGCCTGTGACACAGCCCTTAGGAAATCCTGAGAACACGTGCCCTATTTTTTTTTTTTAAAGAAAGAAATTAGTTAAGGGGTGAAGATCGCTTGAGACCAGGAATTCGAGACCAGCCTGGGCAACATAGTAAGACTTCCAACTCTATTAAAAAAAAAAAAAAAAAGTGCTGGGCACGGTGGCTCGCCCCTGTAATCCCAGCACTTTGGGAGGCCGAGGCAGGCGGATCACCTGAGGTCAGGAGTTCAAGACCAGCCTGGCGAACATGGTGAAACCCTGTCTCTATTAAAAATACAAAAAATAGCTGGGCGTGGTGGCGTGCTCCTGTAATCCCAGCTTCTAGGGAGGCTGAGGCAGGAGAATTGCTTGAACCTGGGAAGCAGAGACTGCAGTGAGCTGAGATCGCGCCACTGCACTCCAGCCTGAGGGACAGAGCAAGACTCCATCTCAAAAAAAAAAAATAAAGAAAGAAAGGAAAAGAAATTATTTAGGGTCAGGCTAAGTGGCTCACACCCCTGTAATCCCAGCACTTCGGGAGGCCAAGGCGGACAGATCACTTTGAGCTCAGGAGTTCGAGACCAGCCTAGGGAACATGAGGAAACCCTGTCTCTACTAAAAATACAAAAACTAGCGAGGCATGGTGGCACGTGCCTGTAGTCTCAGCTACTTGGGAAGCTGAGGTGGAACGATGGCTTGAGCTTGGTAGACAGAGGTTGCAGTAAGCCAAGATCCTGCCACTGTACTCCAGCCTGGGTGACAAAGCCAGACCCTGTCTCAAAAAAAAATCCTGTTATCTTTAAGAAAAAAAATATAGAAAAAAATTCGGTTCCTCAACTCTATAACTTCCAAATAGATTTAAGCAAGTTAAGCCAAGATCATGCAAGATCATGATTATTAAGCAAGATATAAAAGCAGGACCATCTACCCACTGAAAATTTTCTGGTTAAAAAAATACGTCGGCCGGGCGCAGTGGCTCACATCTGTAATCCCAGCACTTTGGGAGGCCAAGGCAGGTGGATCACCTGAGGTCAGGAGTTCAAGACCAGTCTGGCCAACATGGTGAAACCCCATCTCTACTAAAAATACAAACATTAGCTGGGCATGGTGGCGCGCACCTGTAATCCCAGGAACTCAGGAGGCTGAGGCAGGAGAATGGCTGGAACCCAGGAGGCAGAGGTTGCAATGAACTGGGATCGCACCACTGCACTCCAGCCTGGGCAACAGACTGAAACTCTGTCTCAAAAAAAAAAACAAAGTGGATAAAAATTAATTTTATATGTTTTAAAAGTATAGTTAAACCTTCATAAGCAAATTTACATACATCATCAGCTAAGAGAATTTGAAATTTAAGATGTTAAAAAATCTTGAGCATTGAAGATGCTGAAATAATCTGTAATATAGAAGAAATATCATGATATAAGTAGCAATTTTCAAATACAAAGAACTCTTTGGTGGCTGATCTGAGTGTAATGGTGTTTACAATTAATTGATTACAACCAGTTACAGATTTATTTATTTCTCCACTCCCACTGCTTCATTTGACTAGCCTTAAAAAACAAACAAAACAAAACAAAAAACCTCTTTGGGCAGGCCTTCCTTCCTAGCAGAGAAGGCAAAAACATGCACAGTCAGCATCATTACAATTCAGAGTATAATTGAGATTCCCACTAAAGCAAGTAAGGTTGTTGTTGTTGTTGTTGTTTTGGAGACTCTAGCTCAGGCTGGAGTGCAGTTGCATGATTTAGGCTCACTGCAACCTCCGTCTCCTGGGTTCAAGCAGTTATCCTGCCTCAGCTTCCCGACTAGCTGGGACTGCAGGGGCGTGCCACCATGCCCAGCTAATTTTTGTATCTTTAGTAGAGATGGGGTTTTGCCATGCTGGCCAGGCTGGTCTCGAACTCCTGACCTCAAGTGATCTGCCTGCCTCAGCCTCCCAAAGTGCTGGGATTACAAGTGTGAGCCACCATACCTGGCCTAAAGCAAGTAAGTTTTATGTGCAGCATGGCCTGAGAGATCCCAAGGTAACTGTGTACAAAAGGAGAGAACACAGTAATCACTGGGCTGAGTGGCTTTAGATTCCTAAGAACTTAGAATTTAGGCCGGGCGCGGTGGCTCAAGCCTGTAATCCCAGCACTTTGGGAGGCCGAGACGGGCGGATCACGAGGTCAGGAGATCGAGACCATCCTGGCGGATCACGAGGTCAGGAGATCGAGACCATCCTGGCTAACACGGTGAAACCCCGTCTCTACTAAAAAATACAAAAAACTAGCCGGGCGAAGTGGCGGGTGCCTGTAGTCCCAGCTACTCGGGAGGCTGAGGCAGGAGAATGGCATGAACCCGAGAGGAGGAGGAGCTTGCAGTGAGCTGAGATCCGGCCACTGTACTCCAGCCTGGGTGACAGAGCAAGACTCCGTCTCAAAAAAAAAAAAAAAAAAAAAAAGAACTTAGAATTTAGACTCTTCCATAACTCCCAGCAATCTTAGACATTTATCCCAGAAAAATGAAATATATGATTACAAAAACCTGTAAATGAATTTTTTTTAATTTAATGGTTTATTTTATTATTATTATTTAAAACAAGGTCTTGCTCTGTCACTGAGGCTGGAGTGCAGTGGTGTGATCTTGGTTCACTGCAGCCTTGACTTCCTGGGTTCAGATGGTCTCCTGTCTCAGCCTCCTGTGTAGCTTGGACCACAGGTGCATGCCACCATGCCTGGCTAATTTTTCGATTTTTTCTGCAGAGACAAGGTCTCACTTTGTTGCCCAGGTTGATCTTGAATTCTTGGCCTCAAGTGATCCTCCCACCTCAGTCTCTTGAGTAGCTGGGACTAGAGGTGTGTACCACCATGCCTGGCTAATTTTTAAATTGTTAGTGGAGATGGAGTCTCACTGTATTGGCCAGGCTGGTCTCAAACTCCTAGGCTCAAGCAATCCTCTTGTCTTGTTCTCCCAAAATGCTGAGATTACAGGCATTTTTTTTTTTTAATAAAAATATGTTACCAGGGAGATGCAGCCTTCCATGTAAAATGAAGGCACAGTCCCTAAAACCTATACATGAATGTTTATAGCAACTTTATTCATAAAAGCAAAATCCTGAAAATAGCCTAAATGACCTTCAGTGGGTAAATGACTGAACAAACTCTGACATTTCCATACAATGGAATACTATTCAGCAGTAAAAGGGAATGAACTATTGATACATGCAACGACCTGGATGGTCCTCAAAGACATTATGCTTAGTGAAAAATCAACCTCAAACTGTATTGTAGGTTCCATTAACTGTAGCCTGGAAGAGCAGATTAGGGGACAGGGACTTAGGGTAGGGTAGAGAGTGGGCACCAATACAAGAAAAAGTTCTTGTGTGGTGATGAAACAGCTTTGTATCTCTCTCTCTTCTTCTTTTTTTTTTTTTTTTTGAGACTCACTCTATCACCCAGGCTGGAGTGCAATGGTGCGATCTTGGTTCACTGCAACCTCCGCCTCCCAGGTTCAAGCGATTCTCCTGCTTCAGCCTCCCGAGTAGCTGGGATTACAGGTGCCCGCCACTACACTGGCTAATTTTTGTATTTTTAGTAGAGATGGGGTTTCACCTTGTTGGTCAGGCTGGTCACAAACTCCCTACCTCAGGTGATCCACCCGCCTCAGCCTCCCACAGTTCTGGGATTACAGGTGTGAGCCACCGTGCTCGGCCATAGCTTTGTATCTTGATTGTGGTAGTGGTTACATGAATCTATACATGGGTTAAAATTGCATAGAACTACACACAAACAAATGAATGTGGTGTTTAAAAACTGATGAAAATTGAATAAAGTTTGTAGTCTAATGAACAGTAAGGTACCAATGTCAATTCCAGGTTTTGATACTATACTATAGTTACATCAATGTCACCTTTTGGGGAAGCTGGGTGAAGGCTGCATGGGACTATACTATACTACAGGTGTGTACCACCATGCCTGGCTAATTTTTAAATTTTTCTAAGCTCAAGCAATCATCTTGTTTCGTTCTCCCAAAGTGCTGAGATTAAGTCTATAATTCTTTCAAAATAAAAGGCTCACTTTTGGCCTGTAATCACAGAACTTTTCCCTTGATTCCCATATTTTTCCAGAAGCCTCTGGCTTTCTGTCATTTTTTAATTTAAAAACTCCAAAAACCTTTCAGCAGCAATTTCCAAACATCACAGTAAAAATGTCTCAATAAAATTTGTCATTCATATTACCAACATGCTATATAATTGACACAACTTTTGTAATTCTTTTCTTCCTTTTCTTTTTTTTTTTTCTTTTTTTTTTTTTTTGAGATGGAGTTTTGCTCTTGTTGCCCTGGCTGGAGTGCAATGGCACGATCTCAGCTCACCACAACCTCTGCCTCCCGGGTCAAATGATTCTCCTCCCTCAGCCTCCCGAGTAGCTGGGATTACAGGCATGCACCACCACGCCTGGCTAATTTTTTGTATTTTTAGTAGAGATGGGGTTTCTCAATGTTGGTCAGGCTGGTCTTGAACTCCCAGCCTCAGGTGATCCACCAGCCTCGGCCTCCCAAAGTGCTGGGATTACAGGTGTGAGCCACCACGGCCAGCCTACTTTTGCAATTCTTACAGTATGACTTATAAGAATTTTACATTAGTCCTTTAATTTCCAGATGTAAACTCAAAATAGAAACATTAAAGGAATTGGGGCACATAGTGGTAGTGGGAAAATGTGGCACTTAATGATTTTTCACTCTTTCACACTTAATGCAATGGTTCTTTCTTTTAGTGCTCTGGTTCCAAAGTTGCATAAGTATTTTTAATTTAATTTTATTTTATTTTATGTTTTGAGATGGAGCGTCGCTCTGTCACCCAGGCTGGAGTGCAGTGGCACAATCTTGGCTCACTGCAACCTCCGCCTCGTGGGTTCAAGCAATTCTCCTGTCTCAGCCTCCTGAGTAGCTGAGATTACAGGTGCACGGCACCATGCCCAGCTAATTTTTGTATTTTTTAGTAGAGATGGGGTTTCTCCATGTTGGTCAGGCTGGTCTTGAACTCCTGACCTCAGATGATCCACCCGCCTCGGCCTCCCAAAGTGTTGAGATTACAGGCGTGAGCCACTGTGCCCAGCCAAGTTTTTTTTTTGAGACAGAGTCTCACTCTTGCCCACACTGGAGTGCAGTGACACGATCTTAGCTCACTGCAACCTCCACCTCCTGAGTTCAAGCAATTCTCCTGCTTCAGCCTCCAGAGTAGCTGGGATTACAGGTGCCTGCCATCATGCCCGGCTAATTTTTGTATTCTTAGTAGAGAGAGTTTCATCGTGTTGGCCAGGCTGATCTCGAACTCCTGACCTCAAGTGATCCACCCTCCTCAACCTCCCAAAGTGCTGGGATTACAGGTGTGAGTCACCGCACCTGGCTGTAAGTTTTGAGGGTCAGCCCCTAACCCTGTTTTCCCTATAAGCTCTGTTATCCTTAGTGTATGAATTTGCAGAACTCAAGATGTTGCAGTGACTTGTATATTTTCTTACAGCTGAAACACCTATATATAAGTAAGCCAAAAACATTACAAAGCACCATGTAAACAAAGGGGCAAAATAAATTCTCAAACTTATTTACTCTGTTTTTTTAAAAATAAAGAAGTAGATAATTTAGAACTATTTATTTATTTATATAATTTTTAAATTTGAGACAGAGTCTCACTCTGTCACCCAGGCTGTAATGTTCAAGAGATTCTCCTGCCTCAGCCTCCCGAGTAGCTGGGGTTACAGGTGTATGCCACCAGGCCCGGCTAATTTTTGTATTTTTAGTAGAGGCAGGGTTTCACCATGTTGGCCAGGCTGGTCTCGGACTCGTGACCTCAAGTGAATCCACCCACCTTGGCTTCCCAAAGTGCTGGGATTACAGGCGTGAGCAACTGTGCCCAGCCTAGAACTATTTAAAATAAATTACTTTTATGTGATTAAAAAAATACGTTATGTTTTTATTAAAAGTTCCCTGTAAGCGTAATTTTTTTTCTCTCAGTAAATATAACAGGGCCTGGCATGGTAGCTCACGCTTGTCATTCCAGCACTTTGGGAGGCTGAAGTAGGAGAAATGCTTGAGCCCAGGAGTTCACGACCAGCCTAGGCAATATGATGAAATTCTGTCTCTACAAAAAATTTTTGAAAAATTAGTTCGGCATGGTAGTGTGTGTCTGTAGTCCCAGCTGTGTGGGAGGCTAAGGTGTGGGATCACTTGAGCCTGGGAGGTCTAGGCTACAATGAGCCATGATCCGGCCACTGTACGCTAGCCTGGGTGACAGAGCAAGACCCTGTCTAATAAACACACACACACACACACACACACACACACACACATACATATATACACATAGAAGGGCAAGGAGAGAGGGAATGGAGATTTGTTGTTTAACGGTATAAAGTTAGCCAGGCAAGGTGGCTCACGCCTATAATCCCAGCACTTTGTGAGGCTGAGGCAGGTGGATTGCTTGAGCCCAGGAGTTCGAGACCAGCCTGGGTGACATGGTGAAACCTCATCTCTACAAAAAATACAAAAATTAGCTGGGCATGGTGGCACAAGCCTGTAGTCCCATCTATTATAACTCAGGAGACTGAGGTGGGAGTATTACCTGAGCCAGGGTCGAGGATGCAGTGAGCTTTGGTTGTGCCACTGCACTCCAGCCTAGGTGACAGTGAGACCTTGTCTCAAAAAAAAAAAAAAGTTGGGGGGCGGGGGCATAGAGTTGTTTTCAGTTTTGCAAAATGAAAAGACTTCTGGACTTTGGTTGCACAACAGTGTGAATATACTTAAAACCACCAAACTGTACATTTAAAAATGATTGACATTCAATTTTGCTGGGTGGTGGGTGGTGGGGGTGGTGAAAAAATAAATTTTAAAAATGATTAAGATCTTAAGTTTTGGCTGGCGTGGTGGCTCACACCTGTAATCCCAGCACTTTGGGAGGTCAAGGCAGGCAGATCATTTGAGGTCAGGAGTTTGAGACCAGCCTGGCCAACATGGTGAAACCACATCTCTACTAAAAATACAAAAAATTAGCCGGGCGGCCGGGCGTGGTGGCTCAAGCCTGTAATCCCAGCACTTCGGGAGGCCGAGACGGGTGGATCACGAGGTCAGGAGATCGAGACCATCCTGGCTGACACGGTGAAACCCCGTCTCTACTAAAAAATACAAAAAACTAGCCGGGCGAGGTGGCAGGCGCCTGTAGTCCCAGCTACTCGGGAGGCTGAGGCAGGAGAATGGCGTGAACCCGGGAGGCGGAGCTTGCAGTGAGCTGAGATACGACCACTGCACTCCAGCCTGGGCGACAGAGCAAGACTCCGTCTCAAAAAAAAAAAAAAAAAAAAAAAAAAAATTAGCCGGGCATAGTGGTGTGTGCCTGTAATCTTAGCTACTTGGGGGGCTGAGGTAGGAGAATTGCTTGAACCCGGGAGGCAGAGGTTTCAGTGAGCTGATATTGTGCCACTGCACTCCAGCCTGGGTGGCAGAGTGAGACTCCATCTCAAAAAAAAAAAAAATCTTAAATTTTATGTTATGTGTATTTTAGCACAATTAAAATTATATATATATATGTATGTCTATCTTGTATTTTTAAACTTTTGGGATATTGAGCATTTTTTCCAATAGAAACTTAAAATGGTGGTTAGATTCTTGAATTAGTTTACAAAATCCTATTTGTATTTTATATTTGATTCATAACATAGCTAAAAGATGACACATTTGCAACAGTATTGATGTGTATCTATATATACTCATATATAGAGATATATAGCTACATATTTTTTAAACAGGAGTAAAGTTACTGAATATTCCATCTTTTCATCTTTTCATTTAGTTCCATTGGATTCTGACATGTTTAGTCTTTAGCTGTAGGTACCCTAACCAACAGACAGAAGTGGTATTGCAAAAGCAGAGATGGCAATAGAGAAATTTTAGTAACATTATTACACTATGAGGCTCCACGATCAATCCTGACCCATTTGTCAAGGACTAACCACTATTAAGTGTAGTGTTATTTGCAAATAAATATTCATAATCCTGGGAATGCTTGTAATAGATTTCAAAATATTGTCTTGGGAAATATTGAGAGTTGTGAAGTAATCCTCTTTATTTGAGCGGTTGTAAAAGTAACATGTAATATTGCTTGTGTCTTTTAGAATTCAGATATTCCTATACTTTTCAGTCTACAACGTGTCCTGCTCATTCTTGGCCTTTTCTTCACTGGCCTCTTGCCCTTTGTGCCCATTCGAGAACAGTTTTTTGAAATCCCAATGCCTTCTATTATACTGAAGTAAGTGATTACCCTTTTATTTTAAAATTATCAATTATAGAAAGACTAAGATAAAAGCTCACTAATATCAACATCAATGATGAAGAAGAGATTTCTGTAGTGATTTCCATGTTCTATTACCTGATCTATATTATGCATTTTTATATAAGACACATTCTCTAAAACAAATAATCAGGACCCATCTCAGATTATAATGATTTTCTGTGCCTGTATAGTCAGAAATCAGATAAAAGGAATTTAGTTTAATTACAGAAGGTCAATAATTCTTTTATTCTCACATCAAATAGCAGTTGCCCTCCACTTTCCCTTCTTTCTACTTCATTGACAGCTCTACCCAGCTGAAATTCCATTAAACTCCAAATTAAACAATGGTATTACTGTAATACATTTAGGAAGAAAAACTACCACCACCATAAAAGCCTCTGGAGATAGGAAAATAAAAGGGTACAGTTAGCTTATATAGGATACTGTTTTGTTTTGTTTTGTTTTTTTTTTTTTTTGAGATGGAGTTTCACTGTTGTGGCCTAGGCTGGAGTACAAAGGTGTGATCTCGACTCACTGCAACCTCCACCTCCCAGGTTTAGTGATTCTCCTGCCTCAGCCTCCTGAGTAGCTGGGATTACAGGCACCTACCACGTCACCTGGCTAATTTTTGTATTTTTAGTGGAGACGGGGGCTTCACCATGTTGGTCAGACTGGTCTCGAACTCCTGACCTCAGGTGATCCACCCACCTCCTCCCAAAGTGCTGGGATTATAGGCGTGACCCACCTTGCCCAGCCAGGATCCTTTTATATTTACATAATTCCTCTACCAGAAAAGCCTTGCATTTCACTTGCTAATTTACTAGAAAGATAAAAATACATAGATTGTAAAAATACATAGGTACATAAAAACACTTAGATTGCCTGATAAATACTAAGCACTCATAAGTGATAGCTTTTATTGTTATCTTTGTTATTATAAAGAATGATAGCTTCATCTCAAAATTCTACACACTTAGAATGTGATTTCTAGCTGTAGATTCATAACTGAATTATGACAAAGGAATTTGGAATTGTTGGGGAGATCATTTAAATGTGATTTTACTTGTATGAAAACACTTTTCATATCCAACAGAACTTTAAAAAATCGAGCTGAAGAGCTTTCCTCTTTTATAGCATGTCTCAATAAAGCTAATTACTTGGGGGAAAACATCAAGCTGATCGTTAGTGTAGCAGTCATCAAACAATATTGGTAAGAAAAGCAGGCCAGGTGCAATGTTGGGATTACAGGTGCAATCACACCTGTAATCCCAACACTTTGGGAGGCCGAGGTGGGCAGATCATGAGGTCAGGAGTTTGAGACCAGCCTGGCCAACATGGTGAAACCCTGTCTTTACTGAAAATATAAAAATTAGCCAGGCTTGCCTGAACCTGGGAGACGGAAGTTGCGGTGAGCCGAGATTGCGCCACTGCACTCCAGCCTGGGCAACAGAGCGAGACTCCTTCTCAAAAAAAAAAAAGAAAAGAAAAAAAAATAAAAACAATTGGCTGGGCGTGGTGGCTCATGCTTGTAATCCCAGCACTATGGGAGGTCAGGAGTTCGAGACCAGCCTGGCCAACATGGTGAAACCCCTTCTCTACTAAAAATACAAAAATTAGCCGGGCAGGGTGGTGGGCACCTAGAATCCCAGTTACTCAGGAGACTGAGGCAGGAGAGTCACTTGAACCCCAGAGGCGGAGGTTGCAATGAGTCAAGATCGCTGCACTGTAACCTGGGCGACAGAGCAAGACTGCATCTCAAAAAAAAACAAAAAGAAAAGAAAAACAATTTAGTCAGTACTCTTGTGCTCAACTTCTATTTCATGCCTGTTTTCCAATTTCAGTATCTTAGTGATGAACATATTTATTTATTCCTAAATTATATTTATGAACAGTCTTTGTGGCTGTTTCTCAGACAAAACAATAGAAAACACTTCTTGTCTACCAAAAAAAAAAAAAAAAAAAAAAAAACCCTATTTTATTTGCTAGATTAAAATTATCCCTAAACATTTATTCCTGGCCGGGCCAGGGGCTCCTGCCTGTAATCTCAGCACTTTGGGAAGCGGAGGCAGGAGGATCATCTGAGGTCAGGAGTTCCATACCAGCCTGGCCAACATGGTGAAACTCCATCTCTACTAAAAATACAAAATTAGCTGGGCATGGTGGCGCACATCTGTAATCCCAGCTGCTCAGGAGTCTGAGGCAGGAGAATCGCTTGAACCCGGGAGGTGGGGGTTGCAGTGAGCCGAGATTGCACCATTGCACTCCAGACTGGGCGACAGAGCAAGACTTTGCCTCTAAATAAATAAATAAAACATTTATTCCTAAAGTACTTAGCTTTCATCTGGCCTGGAGTGGACTGTTTGCTCTGTATTTATCTTCATGTGTTCCTTTTAGAAGCAAATATTGCTGAAATACAGACCTAAGAACAAACTCCATGGAATTAATATTTTCTCTAAAAGTTTTTAGAGAAACTGATTATGGATTAAGACACAAGTAGGATATCTTTTGTGTGTTTTAATACTTCTATGGAAGACAGTGGATATTTTCTAAGACAATATAGTGATTGTTTAATGAGGTAGTCAGTATTTGAGCTACTAAATCCCTAAGATTCCTGAAATTGCAACCAGGACTTTCCACTGGGGCCAGAGTTATGGAAAAAAGGACTTGTACTTTATTTAGTACATTTTTTTTTTTTTGAGACAGTGTTTCACTTTGTCGCCCAGGCTGGAGTGCAGTGGCACAATCTTGGTTCACTGCAACCTCTGCCTGCTGGGTTCAAGCGATTCTCCTGCCTCAGGCTCCTAAGTAACTGGGGTTACAGGCGTATGCCACCATGCCTGGCTAATTTTTATGTTTTTAGTAGAGACGGGGTTTCGCCATGTTGGCCAGGCTGGTCTGGAACTTCTGACCTCAGGTGATGCACCAGCCTCAGCCTCCCAAAGTGCTGGGATTACACACATGAGCCACCGTGCCTGGCCTACAGAATTTTTTTTTTTTTTTTTTTTTTGAGACAGAGTCTCACTCTGTCACCCAGGCTGGAGTGCAGTGGCGCGATCTTGGCTTACTGCAAGCTCTGCCTCCCAGGTTCACTCCATTCTCCTGCCTCAGTTTCCCAAGTAGCTGGGACTACAGGCACCCGTCACCATGCCTGGCTAATTTTTTGTATTTTTAGTAGAGACGGGGTTTCACCGTGTTAGCCGGGATAGTCTCGATCTCCTGACCTCGTGATCTGCCCATCTTGGCCTCCCAAAGTGCTGGGATTACAGGCGTGAGCTACCGCGCCCGGCCGGCCTACAGATATTTTAAAGGAAAGGAAAACACATGGTAAACAGCTTACTTTAATCTATAATACAGTTCTGTTATATGTTTAAATCTGCCACATACTAAATTGTAGCAGACAAAGCAGGAGAAAGATTTCACCAAAAAAGAAAGGAGATATGAGCTTAGGGCACCAGGGTCTCTGGAAAGACAGTATTTGTTTATTTATTTATGTATTTATTTATGTATTTATTTATTTATTTTTAACTTTTGAATAGGGATGGCAAAAAGTTAGCTTGAGACCAGTGCAAACAGAACCCAACTGGCCTTTGTTTTATTTTTGTCCTTTTTACAAATATTTTTGAGAATATACAAAGTACAAGGCACTGTTTTCATTTTCGAATCTGTTTCATCACACTGATATATTTCTGTGTTTCTAATTTGTAATTCAAACTTTATTTTACCCTAGGCTAAAAGAACCACACACCATGTCCAGAAGTCAGAAATTTCTCATCTGGCTTTCTGATCTGTAAGAATTTTAATTTCTTAATATGCAAGTTATTGCTTCAGCTATTAAATACTACCCTTAAAATTTAGTGCAAGCTTTCCACATGTAATTTATAACAAGGGCAAATTGAGTACCTGCTATGTAAAATGTGTATGAATCATTTAGAAATATCTTAATTACTAATCACAAAACCTTAGGAAGAATCTTGAGAGATAATCTTGTCCAACTTCATGAGAAAACTGAGCCACCATATACCCAGTTAAATTATTTACTTGGGGTTGTCTAGCTAGTTAGTAGCAGAACTAGGTTAAAGAACCATTCCCTTTTTCTTACTTGCTGTTTCCACCAAGCATGGTGAAAAGACGTGTAACAACACCATATATATAAAAGTATATGTTGCCTACAGCCCGTTTCTCAGAAAAATCTGCTCTGCACCAAGACTTAGCAGAAAGGAAATCTCACCTATAGAGTGGATATCAACTTTAAAGAAAATGCCTTAATTTAGACATGTTGAGTTTAATTTTAGTAAAAATCACAAAATAATTGTACTATATTTTGCTTTAAGATGGAACCTTGAATGCTTAAAAATTTTTTTTTTTTTTTTTTTTTTGAGACGGAGTCTCGCTCTGTCACCCGGGCTGGAGTGCAGTGACCGGATCTCGGCTCACTGCAAGCACCGCCTCCCGGGTTTACGCCATTCTCCTGCCTCAGCCTCCCATGTAGCTGGGAATACAGGCGCCCACCACCTCGCCTGGCTAGTTTTTTGTATTTTTTAGTAGAGACGGGGTTTCACCGTGTTAGCCAGGATGGTCTCGATCTCCTGACCTCCTGACCTCGTGATCCGCCCGTCTCGGCCTCCCAAAGTGCTGGGATTACAGGCTTGAGCCACCGCGCCCGGCATGCTTAAATATTTTAATAGTCCCAAATCACAACTTTTTATTATTTAATGCCTTTTTCTTTTCTTTTCTTATTTATTATTTTTTTTAATTATTATTATTATTTTTTGAGACGGAGTCTTGCTCTGTCATCCAGGGAGTGCAGTGGTGTGATCTTGGCTCACCGCTTCCGGGGTTCAAGTGATTCTTCTGCCTCAGCTTCCCGAGTAGCTGGAACCATAGGCTCCTGCCACCATGCCTGGCTAACTTTTGTATTTTTTAGTAGAGACAAGGTTTCACCATGTTGGCCAGGTTGGTTTTGAACTCCTGACCTCAAGTGATCTGCCCACCTCAGCCTCCCAAAGTGCTGGGATTGCAGGTGTGAGCCACCGCGCCCAGCCTTAACACCTTTTTCAAAGAGTCCTAAACAATTAGTTTTATCTTTTCTCTGTGTCAGTGTTTATTCTTTTTTGCTTTATTCTTGATTTAAGCTCTAGTTTTTCAAGGATGCCTTTTTTTTGTGCTCATGTAAAACCAGGATGCATTTTTTTTCTTTTTTCAACCCTATTAACTGACAAGATGCATTTTTAATTTGTGTCAAAAGCACATGATTTCTAGTTTCTGTTATTTAATCATTCTAATAGACATAACAGAATAGAAATAATGTCTTTCCAGCACAGTGAATTCCTATCTTGCTCAAGAGATTTGTATTTTGAAAGTTCACTTATCAGTGAGTTACTTGGAACAAAAAAATGTTTTTTTCCCTAGACATAGGATAGTGTAATTAATGGACATAATGCTTCTAACATAGCTTACAAAAGACTAATCCATTGTGTAATGAACTATGATGCTATAGAAATTGACCTGCATTTGTTGACTTATTTTAACTTGGAAAGTTAGGAACACATATTAATAGTAAGAAAGGAAAGCCAGCTCTTTCTCCTTCTTCAGCAGTGAAAATGAGGCAGCCTCTTTTCTATTGAGCTATGTCAACAAGAATGGGTCTCCGACAGATCTGGTAGCAGTAAGGAGTAGAAAGGAGGTTCTGGTTGTCCACCAACCAGCAGCCTGCAATGAAAGGAGATCCAGCAATTAAGACATAAATTAATTCCCAACAGCCATTATTACTTGAGACCATTTCTTTTATTGCTGAAGCATTGGGATTAAATTAACTAGGAATTACTGAACTCTAAATTGACTAAATTAGGACTAAAGACTAGATTCCTAAATCATTTATGCTTTTTCTTTTCTAGCTTACTAATGAGGAAAGCTTTGTTTGACCACCTAACTGCTCGAGGCATTCAAGTAAGTTTCTGGAATGATGCATTTTGGAAGCAGCATAGCTCACCAGTTTAACACAAATATAAAGGGCAAGAACTTTTAACTGACTTAGTTTGGCCCTTGACTCTGATACTGCTGCTTTACTGATCCACAAATGAGGACCTTAAGCTCTTCCTATACAGTTAGCAATAAAGCATTGGCATTTCTGGATCTAGATTCCTCTTATGTACAGAATAGCTGTTGCCAGAGAGGTGGGCCAGTGTTTGTGTGTGTGTGTGTGTGTGTATATATATATATTTATTTTATTTTATTTTATTTTTTTTGAGATGGAGTCTCGCTGTGTCACCCAGGCTAGAGTGCAGTGGTGCAGTCTTGACTCACTGCAACCTCCACCTCCCCGGTTCAAGTGATTCTCATGCCTCAGCCTACTAAGTAGCTGGGATTATAGGCGCGCACCACCACACCTGGCTAATTTTTGTATTTTTAGTAGAGACTGGGTTTTGCCATGTTGGCCAGGCATATCTCGAACTCCTGACCTCAGATGATCCACCCGCCTTGACCTCCCAAAGTGCTGGAATTACAGGCGTGAGCCACTGTGCCCAGCCAGGAGAGTGTATATTTAATAAGCACTGTGAATTTTTTTTTAACACCCCTCATTCCTGTAAGGAACAAAGTGAACTTTTAAAAAAGGATCTAATGATTTATTTAAATGATAGCTTTAAAAGGTTATTTCTAAATGTACCAAGATTGTAGTGGATAAATACTGTTATAAAAATAATTTTCTATTTTAACATTTCTTCTCATCCTTCTCACACTTCTAATTTTCAGGTGTATATTTGGGTATTAAATGAAGAACAAGAATACAAAAGAGCTTTTGATTTGGGAGCAACTGGGGTGATGACAGACTATCCAACAAAGCTTAAGGATTTTTTGCATAACTTTTCAGCATAGAAAAAGAGGTACTTAGAAGTATTGAAGGAAAAAATGAAGACCTAAGAAAAAAAATTTCATCATCATTTCCCTAAGCCATTTCCAGAATGGTAAAAGGTTTAATCAGTTTTTATTACCTCATTTTTAAGCCTGTATGAGAATGTAGAAACTATATATTATATGTATATTTATTTTAAATAATATTATATATTTTATGTTTGTAAATTGTTTAGAAAGATAATTGGTTATGAGATGTAAGTTTTAATTTCTTAATATGCATTTTAGTTTCTAGATCTTACACAGAAATCTTGATTAATAACATACACAGAAATGTACATACTACATCATCTATAGAAATCTTGATCAATAATCTAGAAACTAGGTTATCTAGGTTATTGATCAAGATTTCTGTAGATGATGTAGTGTTCTATTATAAGTAATTCTGGAATCAAAGACTGTTGGATACATTTGGCATTGGGCTGAGTGGGTGGCTCACGCCTGTAATCCCAGCACTTTGGAAGACTGAGGCAGGCAGATCATCTGAAGTCAGGAGTTTAAGACCAGCCTGACCAACATGGCAAAACCCCATCTCTACCAAAAATACAAAAATTAGCCAGGCGTGGTGGTACATGTCTGTCATCCCAGCAGCTCTTAAGGCTGAGGCACGAGAATTGCTTGAACCTGGGAGGCAGAGGCTGTAGTGAGCCAAGATAGCACCACTGCACTCCAACCTGGGAGACAGAGTGAGACTCTGTCACACACACACACACAAAAATGGCATTAGCCTTCACTGGAATACAATCAGTTAGTTAGTAAAAGAATTTTTTTTTTTTTGACATGGAGTCTTCCTCTGTTGCCGAGGCTGGAGTGCAGTGGCACCATCTTGGCTCACTGCAACCTCTGCCTCCCAGGTTCCAGCTATTCTCCTGCCTCTGCCTCCTGAGTAGCTGGGATTACAGGTGCCCACTACCACGCCCAGCTAATTTTTGTATTTTTAGTAGAGACAGGGTTTTGCCATGTTGGCCAGACTGGTCTCGAACTCCTGACCTCAGGTGATCCACCCACCTCGGCCTCTCAGAGTGCTGGGATTACAGGTGTGAACCACTGCGTCTGGCCAGTAAAAGAAATTTTGAAGGCCACTGCAGCTATTTGTTAGTGTCTTGTTATTTCTAGGTGCATCTTAGTTAAAGGGGAAAAATAAAATGGAAAAAGCTTGGAAATCAGTGATGTGTAGTTATCTGGCAAGTTATACATAATTAGCAGCAGTCAGGCTCAAGAAAATAAAAGTTGATTAGTTGATCAGAAATAAAATCTGTAGAGTGAATTAGATTTCTGAGTTGATGTTGTTAATGGAACATTCTATTTGAGACCTTTATTCAGGTGTGTAACAATTCTACCATGTCCATTTTTTTAAGCATTAAAAATGAACTTATCAGTTATAAATTAAGACAAGATCCAAATAGTTCTATTTTTGTGTTTCCTCTAAAAAAATGTAAGATTTTCACTTTTGGCATTGACTAACTGAGCCTACATCTAGATTTTAAATACCATCTTGAATCCTAATAATTATATTAAACTGATGAAAGTGCATATGATTGTTCCTAACACTTATGAACCCCCATAAAGATGTTCCTGATCTTTAAAATTCATTAATCTGAGTACTAAGTAGAAACAGAATTTTCCAAAGCATTAGACATCGCTTTCTCAGTTTATCTGAAGAGACTTCGTGTACATCTGTTTCTAATATATTTGACTAATTTTCATGATCTCAGATTGTGAGGTAAATGTAACCTGGAATAATAAGTGTCTTTTACCTAGATTACGTCTCTCATTTGGAGTTTGGCAATGAAACAGCTATGAAGAATGACTGTACTCCCCCATCTGTCCCTAGATGACATAAATATCATTTGCTTTGTTGTTTAAACTGAAATAAATTTTCCAAGAACAAAGTAAGGGTTCTTCATTTTTTTTTTCAGTTTTAGTTCCAAATATGCTTTGTAGATTTTTTTTTTTGCAGAATTTAATGAGGTGATGCTTTAATCATATGAATAATAAATGCACCTGAGATTTCGCTCTAGTAAAAATAAAAGAAAATATGGAAACACTTTTATGGTAAGAAAGTTACTTCTTGGCATTTGAACAAATAACTTGGGCGGATAATCCATTGAATCAGTCATTTTCAATTTCACTTATTGTAACTTATGGTTATAGCTGCTAGGGATCATTTTGATCATCTTTGATGGAATTCTTTTTGTTATTTCTCCTTTCTAAATTTTGCTTTGTTATGATTCAGAGGAGATCATATTAAAGGGCCAGCTTATATCTTACGTAAACCAGTAGAAGATAAAGTACCCAACAAGGTAAAGATGTTTGGAAAATAATGTTTCAAAAGTTTGGTGATTTTATAGTCAAGGTGACTTTAATTTTCTTAATAAAAACATAGTAATTTATAACAAGGAAGTTGATCATCATTCAGTTAACATCTGAATTCTGCTTTCTGATAGGGGCATCATGTTTGTTTGTTTTTAGAGACACAGTCAGGCACCATGGCTCATGCCTGTCATCTCAGCACTTTGGGAGGCTGAAGTGGGCGGATCACCTGAGATCAGAAGTTTGAGATCAGCCTGACCAACATGGAGAAACCCTGTCTCTTCTAAAAATACAAAATTAGCCAGGCGTGGTGGCACATGCCTGTAATCCCAGCTACTCAGGAGGCTGAGGCAGGAGAATCGCTTGAAACTGGGAGGCAGAGGTTGCAGTGAGCCAAGATCATGCCATTGCACTCCAGCCTGAGCAACAAGAGCAAAGCTCCATCTCAAAAAAAAAAACCAAACAAAAAAAGAGAGACAGGGTTTTGCTCTGCCACCCCAGCTGGAGTGCAGTCGCTCAGTCTCCACTCACTGTAGCCCCAATCTCCCTGGCTCCGGTGATCTTCCTACCTCAGCCACCTCAGCCTCCTGAATAGCTGCCACTACAGGAGTACACCACCACACCCTGCTAATTTTTGTGTTTTTTTGTAAAGACGAGGTTGAGCCATGTTGCCCATGGCTCAAGCAATCTGCCCACCTTGGCCTCCCAAAGTGCTGGGATTACAGGCACAAGCCAATGTGCCCGGCCTCAGAATTTCTTAAAGCTCTAATTTCTGGCAAGGGTCAGTTCTAGAAATTGAGGAGTGGGGCAGGACTATAGGGAGTCATCTCATGGCCACACTGTGAAAAAAGAATGGCTGTGATGGGTTGAGAAAACAGAACATAAATCATAAATCATAGTATGCTCCAGTATGGGAAACCATTAACATATAATATAATCAATGATTTTGCCTAAAGTTATGCAACATGGTGACCTCAGAAAAAATCCATTGAAAAAAAAATCAAAAGAGATTCTGCAATAGATAAGAGTGACAAGTCAAGGGTGGCCATGAATGCCAGGTTGAAGAGTTTGTTCTAAACTGAAAGTCATAAAACTCAAGTAGATGGCTAAACTTGAGGCAATAAAAACAAGAACCAAAACTGCTAGGCAATAATACGACATAATGATTTCAGTCCCAAAAGAAAAATGTAAAGAACAGTCTGTAACCAGGCCCCAAAACAAAAGCAGAACTAAAGAAGTCAGTTGCAAGCGTCAGAGAGGAAATCAAAATGCTGGGAGCATACTAAGACATTTTCTGTGCCTCATTTAGATAGCATTGAAAAATTAATGTTTGGAAAGTTGATCATCCTATAATCTGAAAGAAAAATACAAGCCTAGAGCAGAGAACAGTCCAGAAACCAGGTCAGAAGTCTAAACAGGTTCATATAAATCTAAATTGCCATTAGATTGCATAAAAATTTGGTGGCCAGGTGCAGTGGCTCACGTCTGTAATTCCAGCACTTTGGGAGGCCGAGGCAGGGAGATAACTTGAGGCCAGGAGTTCAAGACCAGCCTGGCCAACATGGCAAAACCCCGTCTCTACTGAAAAAAAAAAAAAAAATTAGCCAGGTGTGGTGGCACATACCTGTAATCCCAACTACTCAGGATTACACAAGAATTGAGGCACAAGAATTGCTTGAACCCTGGAGGCGGAAGTTGCAGTGAATTGAGATGGCACTGCTGCACTCCAGCCTGGGCAATAGAGTGAGACTCTGTCTCAAAAAGGAAAAAAGGCCAGGCATGGTGGCTCACTCCTGTAATCCCAGCATTTTGGGAGGCTGAGGTCAGGAGATGGAGACCATCCCAGCTAACACAGTAAAACTCCGTCTCTACTAAAAATACAAAAAAGTAGCCAGGCGTGGTGGCACGCGCCTGTAGTCCCAGCTACTTGGGAGGCTGAGGCAGGAGAATCACTTGAACCCAGGAGGTGGAGGTTGCAGTGAGCCAAGATGACGCTGCTGCACTGCAGCCTGGGCGACAGAGCAAGGCTCCATCTCGAAACAAAGGAAGGAAGGAAGGAAGGGAGGGAGGGAGGGAGGGAAAGAAAAGGAAAAGAAGAAAGGAGGGAGGGAAGGGAGGGAAGGAAGGAAAGAGAGAGAGAGAGAGAGAGAGAGAGAGAGAGAGAGAGAAAGAAAGAAAGAAAGAAAGAAAGAAAGAAAGAAAGAAAGAAAGAAAGAAAGAAAGAAAGAAAGAAAGAAAGAAAGAAAGAAAGAAAAGAAAAGAAAAGAAAGAAAAAGAAAGACAGACAGACATGGTAACATAAGTAGGAAAACAATAAATCTATGTGTCTCTGTAAAGGAAAAATTAGGCCAGGCACAGTGGCTCACGCCTGTAATCCCAGCACTTTGGGAGGCCAAGACAGGTGGATCATCTGAGGTCAGGAGTTCGAGGCCAGGTTGACCAACATGGTGAAACCCTGTCTGTACTAAAAATATAAAAATTATCAGGGCATGGTGGTGGGCGCCTGTAATCCCAGCTACTCTGGAGGCTGAGGTAGGAGAATCACTTGAACCCGGGAAGCGGAGGTTGCAGTGAGCCAAGACCATGGCATTGCACTCCAGCTTGGGCAACAAGAGCGAAACTCCATCTCAATAAATAAAAATTTAAAAAGGGAAAAAATAGGCCGGGCGCGGTGGCTTAAGCCTGTAATCCCAGCACTTTGGGAGGCCGAGACGGGCGGATCACAAGGTCAGGAGATCGAGACCATCCTGGCTAACACGGTGAAACCCCGTCTCTACTAAAAAAAATACAAAAAACTAGCCAGGCGAGGTGGCGGGCGCCTGTAGTCCCAGCTACTCAGGAGGCTGAGGCAGGAGAATGGCGTAAACCCGGAAGGCGGAGCTTGCAGTGAGCTGAGATCCGGCCACTGCACTCCAGCCTGGGTGACAGAGCGAGACTCCGTCTCAAAAAAAAAAAAATAAATAAAAAGGGAAAAAATAATAAGAGCTAGTGACTGGATAAGCTTAAAAGAAGAAGGGAAAGTCACAAAGCTGCAAAAAAAAAAAAAATGGGGAACTGGAGAAGGGAAACAATGTGGTGGTAAAGATGATGAATGTGGGTGCACTTGAGTTTGAAAGAGCAAAAAGAAGTTTGAGTGGCTATGCTTTAGACATATTAGTCCTTGGCTGAAAGGCTAAATCTGGAGGAATAGATTTAGGAATTTCCTGTACTTCATAGGTATGAATTTGCAAAGTTGCTCTTTAGAGGTGATATTAGTTGCTTCTCAGTATTCTACTTGCAATTTGAATAGTACCATGCCACCAGATGCCTAGGTTGTGAATAGCATGGGTTCATACCCTAGTGAGATGGAATGATAATGTACAACATAACAAATGATCTCATTTATGCCTTTTTCTTTCAAAAGTAGAGAGCTCTATCAAAACAGACATAATTTTTTAAATTTTTTTTTGAGATGGAGTCTTACTCTGTCTCCCAGGCTGGAGTGCAATGGTGCGATCTTGGCTCACTGCAACCTCTGCTCCTGTATTCAAGCG